AACGGTTTTGAAGAGTTTAACTTCTGGAGACTTCCAGGAGTGCTTCCAGAAATGGGAAGAACGCTGGACCAAGTGTGTTAGACTYGGAGGAGAGTACTGTGAAGGCATGGGTGTATTAATCATTGTAAATATTAAATAAATGTTATAAAATTAAAAATTCTCGTTATTTATTTGCCACACCTCGTATCTACCTATCTACCTAAAKAAAATGTTTACCTTATAATAATTTATATTTGAATGAATAGGAAACTCAGATTGTCCATGAATAACATGATATCGTATTTTCTTAATTTTTTCGTCTTTGAACATATGACTAGCAATCAAATCTGACAAAAAATTTTTTCCAGAACCAGTGCAACCATGAAAACTCATTACTAATGGTTTCTTGTTATTTTTGCTCCGATGCAAATTACCTGCCAAAGCAGATACTATAATCTTTGATGCAATATGTTGCCCAAAAAAGTTTTTTTTCATTTCACGCTCTAAATCTGTGTAAAAAATAATGAAAAACTATAGTATCTTAAGATACAAATTTAAAGTTAACACTAAATTTACATAATATATATATAAATGAACATTTTTAATTGAGATTAAATTTTTAGTATTTTAAACAAAAAGAAACAAATAGGTATATCAATTCTACCAAAAAATCATAAGAGTAAAAATCAATGAAACGTAAATAGTGTATAATATTATGCTTGAAAATGCCTACAAATGCATTCATTAAATTATAATTATAAGTCTAAGTTAAAGAAAACCACAAAAAAAAACAACTGCATGGGTTTAGTATGCAGTGAAATCAAAATTAATTATCAATCAGAAATTTAAATACCAATTTAGTATTGTAGGTTAATTATAATTGAACTTTCTTTAATTATACTAAATAACTTTTCTTTTCTTTTACTATTCTTCTGTTATTTATTTTTAGTTACAATATACAATACTATAAAATATTTACCTTTAATTTCAAATGTTTTAGGACAAGTACTAAAAAAAGGGAATTGATAATTTGATTTATTTAGAAAATATCCAGTCACAAAAGCTCCTACAACAAAAGTCCCTGTGATTGGATCTATTAAAGCATGGACAGTASTTGTAGATTTAAAAAAAATTAAAAAACTTAAGACACATAATAAAAAATATTTTTCACATAACATGATGCACCAACTTTTATTTTTAAGTAGGTATATTGACTGTTAGAAAAAAATATTATCATGTATTAGT